TCAGAATTGATCTCGTTGGGTGTAAAAAATTGATTTGGTGAAGTGCTTTGAATCTTTTTTTTTTAAATCATTTAATATATATTCAGCTATAGAGCTCTGACACATGACCGGTGCTATGTATACATTTTGGAAGACTCTTTTGACGTTAGAGACACTCATACTCTGTATTTCATTTGCAAATACCACTATGAGGTGTATTCGCTCACACAAACAGTCGATCCTCCTCCGTAACTATCCACCAAAATGAAATTCAAAACCTTTGGTTATCCAAGCAAACCTTCGTCATCCACGTATACCAGCGCCGCGAGAAACGTGGTTGTGTTTTGCCGGATTCGAACCAGCGATCGACTGTCTCGAATGGGATATGTGTCCAAGCTATCCAGACTCTACTTGGCAGACCGGCCAAGACGATGTAACACCGCACCATCAAACCATGGCGGTGCTTATAGTGTGGCCAGCACTCTTCTAACCGAAGTCTTGGCACGCACAAAGCTCAACTTGTAAAAACTCCTTCTCAAAATTCAAAATTCCACGCCCGTCGAGACCGTATCCATCCTTCGCATCATCTTGTTAACTTGTCCTGAGACCTCTCACGCCCATCCCAAAAACTGTCTCCCAGATTTGTGCGCCACGCTTTGTGTCCTCCGTCGGGTGTAAATATCGGCGTGGGCGTGTATTTGGTGAGCGGCTGAGGCCAGAGAAGGTTGGCGAGAGGTGTGATCATTGGATGAGGATGTACTAGTCCGTATCTGTAGACTTGATGAGGCTTAGGAAGGAATTGGACTCTCTGGGAGTGAAGATTCGACGTGGTGGAGTATTTTAAATTATTGCCTCGTGGGCCAACTTGCTCGGTGTTGCGAAATTTGACTGAACTTGGCTCTGGGAGAATTTTTCACTCCCAGGTTCGTAGAGGACACCGCGTACAGGTGTTCAGTCTTGCCCTCCGTGTTTTGAATCATTGAGTCGCGGGCCAACTTCTTTGGTTTTGCGGACCTGGTGCACCATTAACGGGGATCCCACCATTAAATTAAGGAAACCCCTAATTGGAATGAAAAAGAAAAGTTGTATTTAAATAGTCTGTCCTACACAATTGTAAACTCAAATAGGACATAAATGGATAATTATATTGATTTTGGTACTGCGGGAATTGACTGAACTACATTCCGGAAGAATATTTCACTCCCAGGTTCACGGAGGATAGCGCGGACAGGCGTTCAGTCTTTGCGCTGCGGCTTACATACTCTGGTCACGTCAGAAGGAGTGGATCTTGAGGGAGCGTTTGTTTGTATCACGCCTAGTGGGTTTAGGACAATAGCCTCATATGAATAGCATACAAACCAAACGAGATCATGTCATTGGTCCGATATCAATTCTATCGCTTTATTTCATCCAATTTCCCTCTGTTCGACCATGGTCATAGGTCTGTTGCGTCACTATTTTGATGCCGTTACAGCTCTTTGTATCAGCTTGGAAGGACTGATTACCGCCCACTCCTTACATCTACGATCTACCCTTGGACCAACGGGGGACGGGTTTTATCATGTCTGGGGTCATGCAGTTTGTAGCTCTATATTTAGCTTGGACTGCAAGCTCTTGGCACTTCTCTTTTGCCAAAGTACAATCTGGGCCCGATATACTCAAAAATAAATAACACAACTGAACTATTCGGGGCTGATGTCATGTTTTAATGTCTATGGCTTCTTGCCTACAGCTCCCAAATTACAAAAACCACATCTGAAGTCCACATATTACCGACTTCTCCCCGTGTATCACACACCCGCAAACAGCCATCGTTTGCTTGGCCGAAAAGAGGGATAGTTAAGGGGCAAGTACTAATCAAAGTGTATGATCAAACGAGGACTTGTGAAGGGTTTCACTTTTTGATTGGAGTTGTACAGGAGGCAACGGGGGATATACTACTAACATAGGTATCCTTGGCCTGTAAGCAGCTGGACTTACATGTCCCATATAGCCTTAGAATGAGAAAGAAAATTTATAATTAACTAATCAGCACCGCCTTGAGCACGGCTATTGTAACCCGAATTTAGCGTGTTGTATCACGCGACGAGCTAGGATTCTTATCTGAGCTCGGTTGCCAGCCAAAGTCAGATCTTGCACAAGGTGCAAGGCATCGTTACTCACCGTAGCCTTTCCAGTACAAACTGGAAAGCGAAGGCAACCTAATTATTACAGGTTCTTAACAGGCTGGATATTCAGCGCTTTGATGTGGCCGGACTATACAATGTTCCCGTGCCGTCGGGTCTTTGCTGTTAGTTTCTGTCGGAACTTACTTAATACCTACGAGTCCCTGAATCCTGATTTATTGAATAGTTCACTCACGATTTTCCTGTCAGAAATTCCAAAACTTTGATCTACGATCCGTTTTGGAGATGCGTGTCAATTGTGCAAATTTTTACATTCTATATTGATGTATGAGTGTGTTACAAATATCCGGCACAAAAGGTTGTTGCAGGCTCAGTAACGATTTAGTCTTTTCACAGAAGTTTCGGGGCTGGTAACCATTGAAATAGTCTTCTACCTCTAATGAAATAAAGATTATCTAGTTCTTACACCACTTGTCCATCGAAATAACGTCTATCGCGCCAAACCAATGAAGCACTCTCAGAGTACAGACATAATTCTTGGGTTTCACAAGTATCGCTGATATCTCTCCAAAATTCGAGATGGAAGCTCCAAGCAGAGACTTCCTATTGACGGATTAATCCTACAGTACCGATCGATTTTGCCATATCAAACGAGTTGTACTAGAAAGGCTTCCATTTGGTTTTTATCAAAATTTATGTCCTTGCGATCTATGCCACGTTTATAGCTCTCCCTGCCAGTACCACTCCCCATGAGTCTTCATCCAACTACACACTTAGAGGTGGATTTTTCCCACTTCTTTCTATCCTTTTAATAAGCGAAACAATTGAACCATGTGGGATATATGGTAGCTGGAAAGACTGATGAATACTACTGGGTGCAGGACTCTCCTAATTCCGACATCACGACTACATCTGAAGAAATAGCTACCCTTCTGAAGCACTCTGAGAAGCTGGCAAGTTGGCCGCTGCAGACATGTGTGTTCCTAAAGAAATCCACTCTCCACCTTACTAGTGTCCTTACAATTCTTTCCCGAAGGTCATGCTGAAATATCAGAAATGTCTTGACAGAGTTTGTTTGCTGAACAGTAGCCTAGCCCAATTTCGACGAGGTGTGTTGGGTGGTGGAGAATACCATAGAATCATCGATATTACAAGTCCCACTGCCTGACATTGGACTAAACCTCCTTTTCACATACTCTACTTCCCATATGAAGTCCTTCATAGTCATAGACTCAGTAGGGACTTAAATTTAATTCTATTCTATTCTATTCCCATATGAAGGCCCTCGCATACCCCTTTTTCCTCCTTCTCTACAACTGGAGCTTACACACGTTTTATTTAGACATGATGGACCCTCACTTGTAGCGATCAGATTGAACCCTCAGGCTGTAACAAGGAAGCGTAGATCCTTCCGATAATACGCGCATGACACCCAGTCTTGCACACCGCACCTTTGAATGCCGCTTAAACCATCGGTTCCCGCTCTTTAGCCCTCAAGAAGGTAGTCATTGCTAACCTATTTTGCACTCGGTAAATATGTTGCTGGAATCAAAGTATTTTAACGTGATTTGGACTTCAGACTATGCCATCATCCTATGCTTGAACTTGTTCCGCAATTTTCCCCAATTTGGACATGGGATGGACGGAAAAAGTAGTCCACACCCGTTTCACAAGTATCACGTCTATGTCGCGGACAGTCTGATACAAATAATTTGAGCCACAAGCAAAAATAAATGGCGTTACTATTTCCTTCTCGACATCTGTAATGGTTAATTACCCAAGTCCTTGCTTAGAATGATGACCATCCCAGACTTTCATCAGCCCATTTTCAATGTCATTAAAATTACCTTTAAAATTTAGGCAGATGAGACACTGGAATTGAAACAAGATTCTCAAAATCCCTGAAGATCCAAGTCTGACTCAATGAATTTCATAGATTAGATAGAACTGGAGATGCGCTCTGATTTTGCCGAGGCCAATGGGTGGATAGATGATTAGCAACATACAGCGACATAAAATCAATTCTAAGTTTGAAACGATGCGAGTCAGTCAATCTGTTCCACTAATGTCTTGTCGAACGGGCTGACGACCGTGGCCGCAGCGGACTGCAGACATGAGATAATCGGGAGTAGTGGTCGGGCAGTGCACGAGACAGCCCATAATAACCTGACGCTTTCGGGTTTCTTGAATGGCAAGTGGCTGGGTTCACTTGTCTAGGATCTTTTTCGTCTTTCTGTGATGTGTATCAATTTGGCTTGTGTCGTAGACTCAGAATGAAGATTCCTGAGAAATCAAAAGCTTGTGAGGGTTGGCAAGCGATTGAATGTCTAAGTACTGGATTAATTGTGTGATCGAGTGACTGCACAGGGAATAGATAACTGGTCTTTAACTTCAAATCCTTGGAGGGTTAGCCAGACTTTAGATCTATTCCAAATTTTGGCTGGCTGGTAGCTATCGGCCAAGGATTGAAGATAAAGATAGGCTAGGCTGGGTTAATGACATAGAATGAATAGATACCTGAGGTCAGAAAAGTCGCAATTAGCAAGGGTCAGTCATATTAATGCTCATTTACGAGTCGCCCGTTGAACCATCGGGCCTCCCCATCTCTTAACTCCGTGGGCCCGTAACCTCTTATCTACTCAATCACTTAACACTTCTTCTTGCCAAAAATCAACTTCTCTCAACTCTCTACCGTGAAGTCATGCTCACGTCCTGGAGTGAGAGACTTCCATCCTTCAGCATTAAAGGAGTCGGTCAGGATCTGCCAAGGTACTCATCAGCCTTGGTGTCGCGCATCTTCCATCCAAATTGCACGGGTAAGAGCGACAAAGGAAGACAGTCCAAGGAGTCAACTCGAATTGCTAAATCTGACACCTATCTCTGTCTTCCTTCCTGATGCCACACGCTCTCGGCAGGCCATCGTTTATGGCTAATGACGCCGGACCTATGATATCATCAAGCCGGACCCAGTTTGACGTGCCTAACTACAACAGACATTCATACGAAAAAGTCAATGTGAACAATAGACCTGCAGCATGTTTACCAACAAAGAATATCATTTATGGAAATGGACTGCATAGATACTCAGATGTCGTTATGAACGAAACTGATGGAAAATTAGCGACGGGAGGCGAAATGATTCACGATCTAAGTCTTAATACAATAGCCAATAAAAAACCCAGTCAAAAAAGTACTACAGACTGGTCTTCTTCTAATGGCAGCACCTTCTCAGGACATGAAACTTTTTCTGTAGGTGTCGAGAATGAAAGGAAGGCTCTCCAGAATGGCTCATCCCAAAATTCCTACACAGAAAAAAATTCTATTACCTCAGCAGCTAGTCTTGCTCTCAATACATCAGTCGATAGATGGCCATTAACTAATCTCCACTACGAAGCTTCAAGGACAAACTCTCTGCCCACTCCAATATCCATGGACCTGCAAAATGCCAGCTCTGAAGGCTTCACATCAATACCTACACCTTCAAGCTCGTCGCACATCGCTTCTCAATCAGTTCCCGATACTTCATCACAGTTTCCGTGCGAAAGCAGCGGCTCACCAACGCACATATCGAACTCAATCCTTCCTAGCTCAACCCTCCCGCCTCATCTTTGCCCACCTCCGTTGAAACTTCGAGATACTCTTCAAGTACCTAAAGTGGGACACAATCGTACTGCAGAAGAAGATGGTGTCTGTAATTCTGGCAGATATTCACCCACCACTGCAAATCATAACTCAAGGCGAGGCTCTTTGGCTACAAACCCAAGAAATACGCAATCAGTATGTTCAAATATTCCGCATGAAGAGATCTTACCAGATGACGATGCCTTGATTTGGGCTGAAGCTGTCCGTCAAAAAAGAGCCAGTAAACGAAGGAAGAGGGATGAGGATGATGATGATCGCGTCATTGTCGGTACAAAAGTGGACCAGAACCATGTGAATTGGGTGACAGCCTACAATATGTTGACAGGAATTCGTTTTACTGTGTCAAGAACTAATGCAAAGATTGATAGACCCTTGACTAATGCCGATTTTGAGGCACGTCACAAGTTCTCATTCGATATGTGAGTCCTTGTAGCAAATATAATTGAAAAATAAACTGAGTTAACATAGTACTGGTAATGAATTGACCCCTTCAGCCAAATATGATTTCAAGTTTAAGGACTATGCGCCCTGGGTTTTTCGATATCTAAGAGCTAAATTCAAGCTTGATCCAGCAGATTATCTTGTTTCTTTAACGAGCAAATATATATTATCTGAGCTTGGCTCACCAGGAAAGAGCGGTAGTTTTTTCTACTTCTCTCGGGACTACAAATATATCATCAAAACAATTCATCATTCTGAACACAAATTTCTCCGTAAAATACTTAAAGAGTATTATGCACACGTGCAGGAAAACCCCAACACCCTTTTATCCCAGTTCTATGGGCTACATCGAGTTAAGATGCCATACGGAAGAAAGATACATTTCGTCGTTATGAATAACCTCTTCCCTCCACATCGGGATATTCATCATACGTTTGATCTCAAGGGGTCCACAATTGGTCGTGATTTCAGAGAAGAGGATCTTGCTAAAAACCCTAGAGCTACCCTTAAAGACCTAAACTGGCTACGGCGGGATTTACATCTAGAGTTTGGTCCTGAAAAGAAACGATTATTCTTCGAACAAATGGAAAAAGATGTGCAGTTACTACAACGACTTGGTATCATGGATTATAGTATGCTGGTGGGAATACATAATCTGCAGATAGGGAATCAAGAGAACCTAAGGGACAAGACTCTTCAAGTTTTTCAGCCTGGTGGTGATACTACATCCGAAGAAATTGAGCGAGGTAATGAAAATCGAGGTTCGCTTTTAAGAACCCCAAGCAAGTTAGAGAATGCTAGAAAAGCAAGAGAGCTTCGTCAAATCATAAAGCAAGAAAAGCCTATACCAATGGGAGAGAGTAGTTCACGGATGCCTGATACTCTGGAAGAAAATACCGCAAAAAAAGAACTACTCTTCTATGGCGACGATGGGGGTTTCCAGGCTACTCATGAAGATAACTCACCCGGGGAGCAAATTTTTTTCTTATCAATCATTGATTGTTTAACGCATTACGGTACCATTAAAAAACTTGAGCATTTTTGGAGTATGTCCTTTTCTTTGTTGGAATTGAAAAATATTAACTTGTTACAGAAGGCCTTAAGCACGACAAGCGATTAATTTCCCCTGTCTCACCTGATCCTTATGCTGAGAGATTTATTGATTTTATCGAAACTATAACCAAAAGTCCCGAGGAGGCAAGGCGAGATAACATCGTCGATGCTTCTATCCATACCTCTGTGAACATTAATCCTACGGTCTCCCCTGAAATTAATCAAAGGATATCTATTGATGAGATGCAACAGCAAGAAAGTTTTAAAGAATCAGCAAGCCAGAAAAATAGTTATGGCGCTATTCGGGAAGAATATCATCAAAGAGGCGAAATCCAAATGCATGAGATTCGGAACATGACAAATAATCGGAGTCTTAGCACTGATCGTAACGGAGGATTACAGGGTCCTACATTACCAGTCGTCCGAGAACTAGGAGAAAGCAGTAACGCTTCGGCCGGACCTAATATATGTGACAATGAAAGTAGGCCAGCCACTCCGCCTAAAGATCCTGTGGAATATAATTATCACACTTCCATTAAAAAATCAGCGCATATCTCACACGGAAAGAGACCTCTAAGTACCTGCAGCTTAGACAAAAAGTTGCCACCTTTACCCACGCAGGTGGGCTAGTTTATTAATTTGGTTTAATTCGGGAACGTCGGGGGATTTTTTGATTGAGGGAACGAAAAAATTATGATACCACATTTCAGCTAAGCGTTTGTGTATGTTGCCGTTGGATCGGCTGGAAATTTCTTTCTTTTGTTTATCTGTGAATACTTTGTGCTTTCTGGGCTTTTGTAAGATGAGGGTGTGCCAGGGAATGGCTTAGCGTAATTCCTCTTGGATGAAGTGTAAGCATTATTCTCCGTGGGCTAGATCAAGAGAAGCCTGATGTCTTACATACGTATTTACATCAACATTTTTATTTATAATTATCTACAGGCAGCTATTACATGGGTGGTCAATGTTTTAGGCGCGGGCAGATCAAGTAGTTGGATCTTCGAATTCAAGGCATCAATTGTAGACCATAACAAACTTAAGGTTCTTTAGTAACAAGGTATGTGAGAGTGTTGAAGGCTCATCCGTGAGTTTCTTTTTACTTGGACAATATGGTTCATAGGCTATCTTTGAAAGTTGGGCTTCTCTCTAACCGAGGCCAAATCTTGCAAGATGTTTCTGTCTTTTGCTACTCAAAGGATGACATTTTTATTTTACTTGGGTTCTATTGAGGGAAGAATCTCAATATCTGTCAGCGGTGTCCCCCACGAACCTCCATCTCTAACTGTAGAGTCTTTTTTTGCATCAGATTTTAATTTCCTATGCATCTATCTGGCTGTGACAAAATATCAAAGAAAATTACATAATAGATCGCTCAATGTAAAGGAAGAGCACTCATGCCTCGGATTTTATTTGCATGTACCACTGCGAAGCTATGGCGGCTTTTTCTTTCACTGTAGAGTATGCAAAGCCGAGAGTGAGTAACAAAGTCCTCACTTCGATGAGGATTCCCAATCGCCTCCGCAGTCTGTATCGTCTTCATCCTTAAGCACATCCCCCCATCACCACTATCATGAAGCTAACTACGATCAGATCAGATGGTAGGGTCGGAGCCCTTCTCATCACTAACCCTTGATCATGGAGGAGAAGTCATCCGATGAGTTTCCGGAGCATACCCAGCACCCGATATGGAGATGGTGGATTAGATCAAGTCGGCCTCGAATGTTACAAAGAAGGGAGATAAAGATGAATTTGCGCACCTCATGCGGTTCTGGTGTCTAGGTCTTGCCTGGCTGGGGCTGCAGGTTTCTTGAGACTTTTTCCTGCGCACGCAGTTTCCATTGCTACCTTTTTTTTGGGGGAAGAAGGTTTCATGGAAAAGGTGACCGAACTCCACGGTTAAACACTGAGCTGAATGGCTATTCATCACTGGCAATGTATCAATGATCTTACAAGTAACAAAAGAGGCAATGAGCACTGTACAAGGTGTGGCCTGGGTCAGAAAGGGGCCTAATGTGCTAGATAGTATTTAACTCTAGTTATCTAGATAAGCAGACATATAATAAACATGGTCTGTTTGTCGATTATGATGTGGCCGCAATTGCAGTTGGATGCAAAAAATGTAAAAGTCTTTATCAAGTATCTTTAACGTATATATTTATTATGAAAATACCCTCCCGTGAAGTTTACTCGACTATATACATGTGAATGCTTTCTTTTATAGATATTCCCAAGTCAAAGATGGGACACCTATATCCCATGAGGTATATGTTCGATTCAGAGTTGTGACCTGCCTCCCATATTATGCGCACGTCCGAGACTATGTTCTAATGTGTCCGTCAGTTCGGTATTCAGTTTTGCAGCCTTCATTACTGTGCACATGTCCTAAAGCTTAATTTGCCTACAGATGTGTGATCAGCGGCGGAAACCTGCAGTTTAATAAACACTGTTAAGACGCCATGAGAATAGAGTCTAACTCTAACAGTTTGCTTGTGACTCAAGTAGTACAATAAATATAAATCTCTCTCTGTTAAGTCTCATGATAATGAAGTTTCCGAAAATTCTCACAAGACGCGCATCGATTTTCTGACTACATTTGATGAGCTAGCCCATGGATACCGAAATCAAAAAGATAATGGGATAGTTGCAGTACCAGTGAAACGACATAATTAAGACCTGAGTATGTTCCGACAGCCAAAGCTCCGTGGCGCTTTGAGAAAATACTGCGTTGCACCGACGCATCAAGTATATTGATATAAAGCTCTGCTTAAATCAAAGTCATGTAGCAAATTTTCCTGTTGATCTCCAATAAATTTCGACTAAAGAGGTGGCTGTGTATGGTCTAATAAAACCTCTCTCAGCTGTTTTTTTTTTTTTTTTTTTAAATTTACATCCTATTTGAGTCTATGACTATTGAAAGATGTGTAGCTATGCTACAATAATTAACACCCAAAATCAAGAACTCCAAGAATTGTCTCCCCTACTCTCCTCTATTAAATACCATCCCCAAGTTGATATTTTTGTTTCTCTCAAATAATCCAATATTATATTAATTCCAATCTTGTTATGAAGCAATATTTCTAGGCCCTCTCTCAGCTGTTACACACAAGGAATTCGGTATAACGCTTTGGATGATTGTTGTCAAACACCTAATAGCTTCGAACCCACTGAATGTAGTAATGAGAATTATTGGATATTGGGATGACACATTTTCTCGGATTAACTTACTCGAGCTTTGATATCGCACCAGGGACATGGTGATCAGGGTGTTCAAAGCTCCAACTTGACATCTTTTGATCTTCAACACATGTAATATATTTCATACGTGTTATGGTTTGACTGTTGTTTAAGCTTAGGATGAAGTCTAAGCGTTTAATTAGGAATAATTACGACAAGACTGAAAGAGGAAGGATGGACAAATAGAGATGAAATGGCACTACTAGCCAGTAGGTCGAAGCAACATCAAAGCGGAATGGCTCCTGACAATACTTGGCTCGGTACCAAGTATTAGGCCTAGGGGAAAGTTATCAGTCAGCAGATTCACGAAGCGGACCAAACATTATAAGTACCTCTCTTAGTAGTAGCTAGAGATTTCTTTTTTTCTACATAAAATTTAACAAGTCGACTTGTTCATTACCAACTTGGTTTCTATCACAATAAGTAATTTTGGGAAACGAGGAGAAAATAATCTCTCCCCGAAATAGTTTCAGATGGGTATGTAGCATCAAGGCTAGAGAGGAGTTGAGGAGCAGAGATTACATCAATTCAAATTTACTTTACATTATTCATTTGACCCTCAATATCTTACAATTTTTCATATGGAATATGATGGGGTTTGATAATCATAAATTAGAAATTATTGGGTTTGAATGCCAGTAGTAGGTTTCGAGTAGGTTAATTCACCACTATAAATTTCCTTGCTGGAGAGGTGTGCTGAGAACCAGCTAGAAAAAATTGAAAACTTTATCAGCTTTAAAGTTGATGTCAACTTTGTCTATGTACGTTTGTTATCACAGACATTGGAAATAATTCATGAGATTGTTTTATGAGATGCTAAGATTGATTATGACATTATTTGGTAGAAGACTTTTGTCATGGTTAGTAAGCCGATAAATGCCTTAAGTCTACCCTGCCTAGCACAGACACTTCTCGGTTCCTGATAATACTTCACAGTCATATTCTCGTAGATTCTTAGATATGCTTCCCTGGCAAATATTTCTGGTAAAACATTTGAGACTAGAGCAGAGATGAGTGAGAATCACATAGAAAGAACGGGAAACTTCTAGCAATGAAGAAGGTGTCACAGGACCAAGTCTCATCAGTGGCTTAGCAAACTTGGGACTTAAAGATTTCCACATATAGAGTTAGATTTACTCTGCTTATTGCACAACACAGTTAATGATCCCGACCCATCCAGATCTTGATATTCCCTTTATACCTTCCGTGACATTTTGTGCGATCTTTAACATACGTGCCTAACCGGGCCCTGCTTCCCTGCTTCCCTGATCCAGTTACCTGTAACCAGAAAATAAATGTATCCTTTCAGAAGGTCCTTCTCGAACGTGACAAGGCACTCTTATATTCTTAAAGTCAATTTAGCAAGTTTGTATAAAAATGGCTAGCAACCAGGACGCGTCTACATTGAAACAACTTTTAGGTTCCTTCTGTGAAAGTTGGCCGAATCTTGCCAGTGCCATTGGAGACCACACATTCCCGCCAGACTCAAATCCGACTCCTCTCTTGACAACCATAGCCTCAACTTCTGATTCACCTGAAAAAATAATGTTCTGCAGTTTGTTAAAATGTTTTGATCTTAAGTTTGGCGTACTTAAGAGACAGATTTCCCACTAGTCAGCAACAATATCTGAATTTGAGTCCAATTTTAAAGGCATGAAAGGACACATCAGTGAGCTAAGCGAAAGACTTACTCTCGCTCATCAGGATACTCTACAGGCACGAGAAAAAATAGAAACGAAAAACCAGCAAGTAGAAAGCCGTCTGAACAATATCAATACGTTAAACATGAGAATAAGGAAATTGAATGCTCAAGTATCATTAGGGAATGAAGAAATTCATAAGTTACGAACCAAAATTCAAAACAATATTGCTAACTCCAACATTGTTTCTAACAAACAGGCCATCCGTCCGATACCTCGCCGTACTACAGTAGACCATGGTAAGTTCACTGGAAATCAGATTAATATGGAGAAAAGGCAATTAGTCTATGAGCGATGGAAGACACAAGTTGAAAAGAATATCCTTGTGTATAAGGCTTGCTTTTCTGGTGAATTTGAAAAAGTGTTGTATATAACTGGACAACTCACAGACAAGGCATGGGACTCTGTGCAAGATGGTGTCCAGATGATGAATAAGAATCCTGAGAATCCTCAAAAATGGGCATGGAAAACATCTGAAGAATTGTTGACAGTCTTGGACGGGCAATATATGCTACTAGATATCACCTAGACAGCAAAATATGAATTGGATACACTATACCAAGAAAAGCGCGCCTTTGGAGACTTCAAAGTAGACTTTGACCATTTTGTGGAAAAGGCTAAATATGATGACAGGACAAAAGTCGATTTGCTGAGGAAGCAATTAAATAAAAAGATCACCAGTGTTATAGATAACCA